TTTAATTGAACTAAAAAGGTCATATAAGAATCTTGGCCTAGATTCAATTCAGCTTTGCTTCTTTATGCAAACAATACTAGTCAGCCTTAATAATTCCTGTCTACATTAGCACTAAAAATCACGATAGTAAACCCGAACCCCCGCGATAATTGCATTAACACCTCATGCGTTTTGGGAGTTTGTTGACAGGCCAGTCGGAGAATGATAAGCAGAAATATAGCTCGCTTTGTCCCAAACGTTTACACAATTTTTTTTCGCCATTTTTTTAAAGGCACTTTTACCGTGCCAGATGACCATGACGCTTAAATGCAACTCAAATTTACTGTCTTTGAAACAAAATAAGGGATTGTTTTACCGAATATTGCATGCTATTGAACCTATTCTAATAGCTCCAGAGTTGGCTGGCAGTCCTGAGAGCAAGGAGAATATTCTGAGGGGACTTGTGATGAACTTCACAATTGTAGGTAGCCTCGGTGCCCCATGGTTTGGGAGCTCAGATGTCAACGAGGAAATGAACGGAGGACTGAAAGTTGGCAGTGAATTTCTCTTCGTCGGGAGTTTTTCCAAAATAACATTCTTCTCCAAAACGGTACTCGGAGGGGTCTTCAGTCTTAACGGTAGATGGAGCAAAGTAGTGTGTGCCGATTATCTTCTTGTTACCATGCGGCCCTATCTGTCAGGTGCATGTAAGCAGCAACAGGCTACATGAGATTTTTGGGCCACAGGGACAAATAGTTTGAAGTCGGATGCCTTTGACACTTATCTATTGCTTTAGCAAATACAAATTTGCCTTATAGAGAATCCTACTACAGTATTTCATATATAGAAAAGCCTGGCCTTCCTTGAAATTCACATCTTCCTTGTGACTCAAGGACATTTCTGGCCGTAGGGCGTAATGCTTAACGTGTCGAGATTATATGCTGCACTATCGTGGTTCTAGTACCGCTGGGGGTGCTGATGAGAGAAAGGCGAGGTCGAAATTGCAATTCACCCTCGATACGGATACATTTTGGGAGGCAAAGCCATGTGAAATTCAATGAAAACGGAAAGCTTACTCATATGATTGGAGAAAAATTCAACTACCAATCCTTCATCACCTTAAATGAAATAGAGTGAATTCATTTCATATATATCGTATTTCATTGTGCCATCCTAAAACCAATCGCGTTTCCCTATAGCTGTCACCTTAATGGATAGTCTGCAAAATTTTATCATACCACTAATCGCTAAAATTATGGGAGCTTGGGTGAAGCTAGAGACTATCGAAAGAAGGAACATCTACCATCCCCTTTAATTAAACTAAGCATAGCCTCCCTGAAGGCCTTCTAATACAGATCCCAGATGACTCGGGCATTCTCAGACCTTTCAAATAAGATTTTAACTCGTGCTGTATGCATCAAGTGGCAGATAGTGAATTTAAAACTCAATTCGCTCTGTGTGGAGTTACATCATCGAAATACCTGAAGAATACTAGTTTGCCATATCGACTCCAGTCTCACTGCAACATGTGGATTAGGGCTGCTACGCAACGTTTACGTCTTGTCACCTACTCGCAACTGGGAGCAGTTGTCTGTCCAACTATTTGCTCATTAATATGAGATGCATTCACCATATTTCGTTTAAGGTGATGAAGGACTGGTAGTAGAATTTTCCCACAATGATATGAATAGAGCTGACGTTGTCATTGAATTTCACATTGGCTTGCTTTCCCAAAATTTGTCATCTACTACCATTCTACTACCAGTCCTTCAACATCTTAAGCGAAAAAGGGCGAATACATCTCATATTACTGATTTACTGATACTCACGAAACTCTACTCAAATACGAAAAATATTTGCTCATTGCCGCTCAATGTGCTACTACTTTGTTGTTATATAGAAGTATCTTAGAATGTTATGGCTAATTGAAACTTGCTATATCGGCACCAGTCTCAGCATAAATTGAGTGAATCTGGGGAGATCTAGCCTGTATTCTAAGTCATTTCTGGAATGTAATCCATGGTAATGTGACCGAGTAGTAACGGGCCAACAATTGTTGCACCATCTGCGGCTTCAAATTCTGTTGGGGCTGTTGAATAGATCCATGCAGGTTCGAAACTGCCGTCTAGATTGTAAAGGGAGGTTTTTCTGGCGGCAAGCCTAAGTGCGATTCAATGGAGGAGGGAGACCTTTCACTTAGTTGCGGGCAGCTAATCTTGCTGGTTTTCTGTGGACTAAGGTGAACAACTGAGGAAATATGGAATTGAATCATCTCGTGTTGATGGAAAGTCAATCGCAATCATTTTGACACATAAATGAACTGTTATATCCTACTTGTGTCGACCAACTCTCAATTAATATGGGCTCGAATTCCCGACAGTGTCAATCATTACATTCAGTTTCGAATGTTTACCCAAGACATAAATATGGTGGGTTGAAATTACAGCAAAGTGAGGGTGTATACTCCTCAAAATGGTCTTACATCCACCCAAATCTGCCCAGCCGTCTACTTGCAAATTCATTCATGTAAGATATGATGTAGCTAAATAAGCCATATTTTTGTTGAATTTCAACAAGACAATGCATTGTTTGCGCTTTAAGCATTTCAGCTTTTTCTATAGACTTAATTGAATTGTGATCCAGCAAAACCCATAGTTTCAGTTATATGAGATGTATTAATTTCCATTTGGGAGTCAGTAAGAGCATTGGGGAGCATTCTAATGCAGGCTGAAGTATGTTAAGCTTTTATACGAGAGCTCTATTACCGAAATAGCAAAAACTTTTTTGCCGATACACAGCTTTAAATATTAGTATCCAGGCCGCGGGGGTCATCCCGTGATAGCGTTACATCAGTTTGAAATCTAATGGCACATCCAGTATCACAAGCACGCCAGTCGTTTTCAAGTGCTAATGTCGATAGATGCTTAAGTTCAACAACATATTCCAGGACAAAAAATGCAAATGAGGGTCTCACTATTCAGAGACAAAAAATAGATTAATACAAAGGCTGTCCGACTTATTCATCCTCTTTCGGGAATTCTGCTTGCATTTATCCAGCCATTCAGGTCTATGATTCTCCTGAGATTCTCTTGTCATTTGAGAACTGGACTGCAAGATATGCCTAATTGGTTTTCATTGAAGCTATTAAAATATCGTTTGTAGTTGAACCCAATTTGGTTGAAATCGTGTTGGGAAGATATAACAAAATCAATCGCCCCAAAAATTAATGGTAGTTACTCTTTGGGATGCCATTTCAATTGCTTGGAACACTCCCGCTAAAGCCTTCCTCGAGACTCCTTCCTGCGTTTCCTGTAAAAGGATGTATTGAAAGTTGTTCTCTTTTGTGATATGTATCATAACAGTGACTTGTAGATAACAGTAGATCATTTAAATTAACCAGCTCATTCCTTTATTTCATATAAACTCCAACGAAATTGGAATCAATAGCGGTAAAGAATGGTTATGAAAACGCTTGTGGCTGTGTGTGAGCATGCGCAAAGAGGTACACAACTATTGGCGATACTTACAAGCGAATACTAAAATCTGTACCATATTATGTAATCTTAATGACCTTTTATTTTGCGACTTAATACAATTTCTCACTACAATCGCTTAATGATGGGCGTCTGTTTATCTAGTGTGAAATCAACTATATACAAAATATATCAATAAAATTAGATTAATTTAAGATATGAAGACCAGGGTGATGTGGCCTTTTGTATGGCCGTGGTCTCCTGTCGTTACATAGAAGTTGTTTGACCTTGTTTTCACAACTTGATCATATTGACCGGCAAAACTTGGTCATATATGCCGACGAAACGTCTTGGAATGTACCAAGTTCACGATCCGACTCTGGAAATTACTATGCATACTATGGACTCCGGATAAGGTGCGTTCCTCTAGGTCTTCCTGCCAATATGACAAAGTTGTGAAAACAAGGTCAAACTGCTTCTAAAATTAGATCATTTAAGTTCTCTTTAAGTGGGTGGTTAACCACTCTCACTATCCTTAGGCCAATCACGTTCCCTCGCAAACTTAGAAGAGGGCCTAGATGCACACTTCAGCCTATATGTCTCATGAAAATTAAATGTCAGCAGACTGAGGAGAAGTCGTCGTCTTCTTATCGTGAGATCTACCAAAGATTCTCTTCATCCCACACTTTATTATAAAATAAAAGATTGAACTAAATCCTGTTACTCTTTATAAATAATACTTCCGTTTAGTACAAGAAGTCATGTTTCTTCCTGGTGAGCTAAAATCAACAAAACTCTTTCCGGGCGAGTGAGTACTATTAGCAATTAAATGATTAGTATTTCACATAATATTATAACAAAGCTTTATATTCTTATTATTCGTCGAGATTCACTTAATTCCACCAAAATGTTGAGATAAGTGGTTGAAACAAGGACCAGATAAAGTAAGAAATATTTGCTCTAAT